CTTTGAGTTTGAATGGACAGCTCGGATAAGTCACTAATGCTTGTATTTGAACTATGTAGATGTATTGAGATTGAAGATTTTGTAATTCTATTATATCCATATCAATAACACTGAAATTTTGAGTATAAATTTACTCGCTGAAATTTGCATTCCAATATATTTCTTGATTAACTGAACTCCAACATATTTAAACCTATACTGCACTTAATTTGAATGTGTACTTGCAGTTTTATTATATATATTTATGTATTACGACATCTGAATTTAATTATATAGATACAGTTTTTTAGCTTTATGCCACATTTATATAAATAGTATATCATTTTAAAGGTCTGTGTTGGATTTCATGATTTTTTTTTTCCCTAAACTTAATTTTTTTTTTTACATACATATTGCCTTATGAAAGGCAAACCATTTTCTTGACGGCTTTCATTGAATTCCTGAACTACGACCGCTTAGTTGTCTTTTGAGTATTCTATGTAGTTACTAAAGAACTGACTATTCTTTTTTTACTTACAATTATTACTTGTATTTATATTTTAAGTTGTTTTGTGTAACTATAAATTCTTCATATAGTTCCAACATGTCTAAGACGAATGAAGAGGGTCCGTCAGCAATATGGGATAAGGAAGTTACAAATATTTTTGCAATCTCTGCGTTAAAGAAATATAACTTGGAAATAAGCCAACCATGTATTTTAACAAGGAAGGTTGACAAAATATTGTGAGGAGCTTCAAAGAATTGACGGGACGGAATTACGACCGGCTCAAATTCAAAAACAAATGAGATCATATGAAGAAGGAATGAAAAATTTGGAAGAAATTAAAACGTGGATCTACCGGTTTAGGTTGGGATCTCATTAAGCAAACAATCGATGCTCCAGAGAAATGAGCTTCAAAGAATTGACGGGACGGAATTACGACCGGCTCAAATTCAAAAACAAATGAGATCATATGAAGGAATGAAAAATTTGGAAGGAGTTAAAACGCGGATCTACCGGTTTGGGTTGGGATCTCATTAAGCAAACAATCGATGCTCTAGAGAAATGGTATTTAAGGGGCTTATCGTGACGGGAAAACATGCATTCAACCCTAGTGAGATGGGTTTTGCAGGCATATCAGATGGCTTCCCTCCTGAGCAGTTGACAGCTGATGAAGAAGTACGTAGTATTAACTAGAGGGAGATGAGGGAGTCCAGTTCACCATCAAAGAAACTCAGGCTTCGTAGGAGGAAGAAAGAAAATGACAATTTTGTGAAAACCACTTTCGATTGACTCATTGATGCTTTTGGAGCTCCAAGACCTGCTCCACTCCCTGATAACACCATCTTAGAATGTAATGGAGCTTTGGCCCAAATTCCCGAAGTTGTTGCTGACATGCGATTTCACGCAAAGTGTGTGAAAAAACTTGAAAATCCTACCTGAAAGCAAATATTCATGGCGCTGCAGCCTGAATTGCACGTAGAATGTTTTGGTAGATGCATGAGTTTTTTTATGATGTTATTTGTAGCTTTTGTTGTGTTATGTACTGCTAAACTGCTCCACTCCCTGATAACACCATCTTAGAATGTATTGGAGCTTTGGCCCAAATTCCTGAAGTTGTTGCCGACATGCGATTTCATGCAAAGTGTGTGAAAAAACTTGAAAATCCTACCTGTATGCAAATATTCATGGTGCTGCAGCCTGAATTGCACGTAGAATGTTTTGGTAAATGAATGAGCATTTTTATGATGTTATTTGTAGCTTCTGTTGTGTTATGTACCGCTAAATGTGTCATTTTAATATGTTGATCTTTGTACTCATGTTTTTGTTAATGTACTTCTAAATGACTTATGTTCTTTTATAAATTGATCTTTGTACATTTTTTATTCAATGTGTAATTTGTAGGCCTTAATGTTTTTATTTCTTATTTTTTGCTCCTCCTATGTCTTAACAATTTCTTTAACACATACATTTTTTCCCTTTAGGATGGATCCGCAGCAGGAACATCGTAAAAGAATGGCATGGGTTGCAGTTATTGCGATATTGTTGTTGGAGTATTACCGATCTAGCCGTGTTCGCATACCCCGCATGCGTCCAACTTTGTTGGGGATATATGGGTGGGTGAGATGTTTTTTGGACATCCAATAAGGTTCAGCAATATATTTAGAATAACTGCACTTATTTTTATGGATCTCCTTCATGAGTTATCTCTAAAGCACGACCTCCAAGATTCTTCTAGAACGACGAATAGGAATGTGTTGGCTATAACATTATACATTTTGTCACAGAACGAATCAATTAGAAGAGCTATGGAGAGATTTCAACAATCATCAGAAACAATTAGTCGTTACTTCTTCAAAGGCGTACAGGTACATATACATATGTACGACCAACTTTGGAAAAATTTATTGATCAGATGAGTCAATCATCGGATGAGGAATGACGGGTCTACACATTCAGAAGGGAGAAGAAAAATGGAGAACTACTTGAGCTCGGGAATTTGATGGATGATACTTAGGTTATTTCAGACAATGATACTCACCTTACCAATTTGTTAGTCGGATCACTTCTGAGAACTAGAGACAGAGGAAAGACTAAAGTGAGACGTCCTTAGCACTTTTGCGCCCTTCAATGGCTTTTTAATTTTTACCTTTATGTATCTTTGCTTTATTTGAGATTTGTGTGTGTAATAAAGCAAAGATACATAAAGGTAAAAACTAAAAAGCCATTGAAGGACGCAAAAGTGCTAAGGACGTCTCACTTTAGTCTTTCCTCAGTCTCTAGTTCTCGGAAGTGATCCGACTAACAAATTGATAAGGTGAGTATCATTGTCTGAAATAATCTAAGTATCATCCATCAAATTTCCGAGCTCAAGTAGTTCTCCATTTTTCTTCTCCCTTCTGAATGTGTAGACCAGTCATTCCTCATCCGATGATTGACTCATCTGATCAATAGATTTTTCCAAAGTTGGTTCGACAAGTGTAGGCTGTTGCACATCATGATCTCCATGAGCCTAGGTAACATTAACAGTTTGCTTGACCTGATGAGGCGGTGGTGAAGCAGTAAAAGTATTGTCACCTGTAATATCGGTGAAAGTTTTTATGGCAGACGGGGTCTGAAGAATCTCCCTCTCCCCCACGATAGTAGGTTCCAAAGGAGGGGGAGCTACAACATTGTTTGGGGACTGAATAGTTGTCATATTGTCTGCAACAAATAGTGACATTTTCAGGGGTATCCTTTTGATGATCAATAGTATCAATAACTTGCATGAGCCTGAGTAACATTAACAGCTTGCTTGACCTGATGAGGCGGTGGTGAAGCAGTAAAAGTATTGTCACCTGTAATATCGGTGATAGTTTTTGTGGCAGACGGGAACTGAAGAATCTCCCTCTCCCCCACGATAGTAAGTTCCAAAGGAGGTGGAGCTACAACATTGTTTGGAGACTGAATAGTTGTCATATTGCCTGCGAGAATAGTGTGACATTTTCAGGGGTATCCTTTTGATGATCAATAGTATCAATAACTTGGAGCAGATCATGCGGAGATGAATTCACTGTCTCTGGCGGAGCACTATGTTTTTTTGGTCTGAAGTGAGAGTGTAGATGGTGGCATTGAGAACTAAAATGGTCGAACATACGACAGTTTGAACAGTACGAAGGAAAATGCTCAATCATTACCTTTTGTCAATATCCATGGTGTTGTGTGCCCAAACAAATATCCTCAAAAGCGGTTGAAGTGTTGTCTCTTTCAACAAGTACTCTGGCTTTAAATGGACGGAAAAAATTAAAAGTAGGAATGTCCATTTTGAGTGGTTTACCATAAGTTGAGGCAATAGAGTCAACACTTTTTAAGTAAATAATGAAATTTCAGACCCGAGAGGCGAATCCAAACCGGATGATTAGTGGTTTCGTCTGTGAGTCAAAATCCACAGACTATTTAAGAATCTACATTGCTCTGTTAATAATTCAGATTATCCTTCTAGCAAATAATCGTGTGTAATCCTCTTCATTATTTAGTTGTATAAGAAAATGTCTTCCATCTAACAGTCCAATTCTCCACTCCCTAACAAGATGCACAAACTCAAATTCCTTACAAATCAACTCTAATTTGGGATGGTCATACAAAAATTTCCCGACCAAATTCAGTTGACGGGAGGAAGCAAGTTAAACACATTCAGCTTATGTAAAAAAGATGACAGACTTCCCATTCTTTTTACTAGGTTTCTTGATGTTCTTCGTCCACTCAAACGAATGCGGGAAAGAGCACGATTTAGGTGTAGCTGAGGCGTGGACACCCACAAGAGCAGCAGCATACGTTCTGTTTGAAGTCATCCTCAATAGATGGAGGTGCAGAGTTAAGAATAGTGAAGAAAAGCAAAGCAAAGGGAAAAATCCAAATTAGAACAGGGAGCAAAAGTAGAAACCCCTCTGTGAAGCTCATGCGATTTCAGCTCGAGCCAGAGAATTGTGGATAGGAAACAGCCATCAGCCATTCCAAACGGGGATGAAAGGCTGCTGCGAGGAGAAGCTGAAACAAAAAATGACAAGGGACGACGTCAACGTATCTCGACAGATGAAGATGCGAGCCCTTCTTCTTTGACGAGAAGAGGCAAAGTCGATGGAATTCACCGCAGACGACGGTCACGGACCGCAGAAGACAATCGAAACCGCAGAAAACGAACGAGCCAAAGACCGTCGGTGCGAAGCCGCGAAACAAGCGCAGCTCGACGAGCTCTACGAAGACGACGAGCCGTGAACGGGAGAAGCGGAGCGAACTCCCCTTCTTCTTTGAGCGAAAAGACTGCAGCAGAGGCTAGAGTTCATTGTGAGGCGAAACACTAGTAGAGCATCTCGTCTCTCCCATGAATGTTATATATATATACCCTTTAAAAAAAAATTATATGAATAACCGCAAAATCAATTATAATGATAATAAATCATAAGTTTTGTCAAGATCAATAAAGTCACTTAAAATCCGTTTGTAGTTATCAAAACCTTTGTATATTGAATGCTTTTTTCCAACATTAATTATAGACTTCCCATGTTTATTTTATTACCATAAACCTCAATAATGCCTCAATATTAATCATGGGAATACAACTCTTACCAATGTAATTCATTAAGAAGTCTTGTAGTCCATACTACAACATCTTAAATAATTTCAAAATATATATGTACAGATATATCTTAATCAGATATATCATGGCGATTTCATAACCACAAACTCATGTTGCCTTTCAGCTTTGCTAGGGTTCCGCCGCATGGCAAACCGTCTTTCAGCTTCGGTGTCTGCTTCCATTAGAGTCGTCTCGCGTTCACGTCTCGACTGGCGGCAGTGTTGCGGTCGATTTCGTGCATGCGCCTCGTCTGTGACAGAGCCTCTCGACAGCGTCTTCGTCAGCGCCAAAGCCGCCCGGCCGCAGACACTCGCTTCTACTGCGTCTCCTCTGCTATAGAGTCGTCGACTTCGTGCCTGCGTTTTCTGCGACAGAGCCGCTCGACAGCTTCTTCGTCTGGGACAGACAAAGCCGCTCGACATTTCTCCTGCATCTCGTAGAGCCGCCGGGTCTGCTCGACTCTGCCTCTGGCGTGATAGAGCCGCTTGACACTCGTGCAGCTTCTCACTGTGTTGTAGGTTGGCACTGGCTGCGGTAATGGTCTCAGGGCTTTCCTACGCCTCCTCCCTCGCCAGTGATAACCCCACCAAACTCTATGCTACAGTGGTTCACAACCGCAGCTCCCTTTTTCACATCGCAGATAGTGCGGTATTTCCGCAGGTTTATCATGATTCTGTTGCAGGAAATGACGATTACAATCTCGTCAAAAAAATAGAGAAAAAGACGGGCAAAGCAGCAATTTTCTTTTCTGATGCTGAAATTTCAACTCGTGTTGGAAAATACAAATTTACACTAGTTGAAAAGTTCCAATTAGGTTGCCCTAAGATGGAGATCATCAGAAAGGTTTTTGAGGATTTCAAACTGGTTGGAGATTGGCAAATGGGTCATTTCGACGGAAGACATGTTATGATACAACTTAGCACATAAGATGATTACACGAGGATTTTTTCAAAGAAACTCATCACATTTCAAAGAAACGCATCACAATTGAGGACAAACATATGAAATTGCTCAAATGGACCCCCAATTTTGATCACAGTCAAGAACCCTCAATTGCACCTATCTGGTACTCATTACCTGAACTCAAGCTTCATTTATTTGATCTACCTATCTTATATGCAATTGGGACTATCCTTGGAAAACCTTTGCAGGTAGATTTATCAACAGTTCATTTCTCAAGACCCTCTATTGCAAGATATTTTGATTGAACGAGATATTATACTACTAGATGTAGATGAAGTCTGGCTTGAATATGCTCACAATGGTTATTGGCAAAAAATTATTATGGAACAAAAACCATACTACTGTAAGCACTGCAAGAAGTTTGGACACCCGTAGGAGAAATGTTTCAAATTGAACCCACAGTTGAGAACCACTAGTCAAAAGCAGGAGCACACTGTTAGCGCATCCCATGTGCCTGAACGCGCTCCCAGCAAACCAGATGACAACCAACCGGAGGAGGGAAACACCACAATACAGGAGTTGGTGTCTGCCTCTGGGATCCCTTCTTCTGACCATACTACAATGGATAATGTTCGAACTGAAAATTAGAATAGTCCCGCAGCTCCTATTCAGGAAGCATCAGGTGCAGAGATAACAATTCACACTTCACATACACTGGAACCTATCGCGGTGGCAACGACTGTCTCTCCTACTACGGTTCTAACATCAAATCAGATCGAGGATCACATGAGCCAATCCTCAGATGAAGAATGGCAGGTTTACACTTCTCGGCGGAATAAGAAGTCCAGCGGCTCACTTCAACTTGGAAACTTAATGGATGATATTTTGGTGACTCGTGGCAATGGCATGACTCTTCAAAGCTTGTTATCTGGTTTTGCTTCAAAAACTAGAGGAAGAGGCAGGACTAAACT